CCCAGGCCTGCAAGGTACTCACTGATCAGCACAGGCTGCTCGTTGTACCCTGGGAAAAGAGAGAGACAGAGGGTCAGGAGCTGGAGCTGGGCAAGGGGCAGCACTGGGGCAGGGCTGCCATGGCAGAGCAGAGGAGGCCGAGGGAGGAGCGCTGGTCACCGTTGACGTAGAGGCTGTCCTTGTCCAGGCTGTAGGGGCCCAGCTGGGCGATGCCTCTGGTCTTGTTGCTCACTTGGTGGTACAGCCCCACCCTGTCCAAAGGCGCAGCCGAGGCCTCCTTGCTGTAGGTGCACACGGCGTCCACCCGGGTCTCGTCCCTGTGACTGCCCGGCCTGCAACACACAGGGGCCTCCCTCAGAAATCCTCCTCTGCGCATTCTTCCTTCAGGGATGGTTGTTGGACCTGACACTGCCATTTCTGAGTTGGAATGCAAGCTCTGCCTTCCCAAAATATGGCTGTTGGTTTTTGTGTTCCTGCCCTCCACCTTAACTAATGCCCCTGGGCCTTTTCATTAACAAAATAATCAAGGCAAGACCAGAAGTCTTCTCACGGTGACAGCATAAGCACCTTGAGATGAGATTATAGGCTTTGAGGAGAATGTCTAAAAAGGATGGAAGCCAGTGAGAAGGTCTTTGGACAGGAGAGCATTAGTGAGAATGTCCTGCCTCGGGAAAGAGGGGAATATGAGCGTGAGCGATCCATTTATGAGGGAAGGCCTTGGCAAGCAACACTGGGGTGCAACACATACCTGAAGCCTGTTGTTTGACATCCACGGAAAGCAGGGCCAATGCTGCTTTCCTTCAGCATGCGGTCAAGCTGCCAAGGGAAGAGGTTTCCCCGTTAAGCCATGAAGAGCTGTCTGCACTCCATTGAACTTGATCAGTGCAGTGAGGACATGAGTATGTCCCACTGATGGTGGACTTACCAGGGTGTTCATAACCCTCCGAGTAGCTCTGAACCTGGCCGAGTCAGGATTCTCCAGGTCAGAAGTGTAGGGGAGGTTGGTGATGGTGAAGTTGACAGTGAAATGCTCAAGGGCAGCAGCTGTTGTTGTTGGTGGGTGGGTGGGAGCTGGAAGAAGCACAGATGGGGAATGACAAGGGGCAACGACTTGGTTGTTACAGCCCTGGCTGGACAAGTGCAGAGGTTTCCTGCCAGCCCTGCTACCCAAGGGGAGGTCAGGAAGATCCCCATGTCCCCAGGATCTCATGCCCCAGGCCCAAGATTCATCTGCCCTACAGAAGAACCCAATGAGAACTTGCTGCCTTCGGATCCCATCCCAGGCCTGCAAGGTACTCACTGATCAGCACAGGCTGCTCGTTGTATCCTGGGAAAAGAGAGATACAGAGGGTCAGGAGCTGGAGCTGGGCAAGGGGCAGCACTGGGGCAGGGCTGCCATGGGAAAACAGAGGAGGCCGAGGGAGGAGCGCCGGTCACCGTTGACGTAGAGGCTGTCCTTGTCCAGGCTGTAGGGGCCCAGCTGGGTGATGCCTCTGGTCTTGTTGCTCACTTGGTGGTACAGCCCCACCCTGTCCAAAGGCACAGCCGAGGCCTCCTTGCTGTAGGTGCACACGGCGTCCACCCGAGTCTCATCCCTGTGACTGCCTTGCCTGCAAAACACAGGGGCCTCCCTCAGAAATCCTCCTCTTCATATTGTTTCCTTGGGCCCAGGTGTGCAGACTTCTGAGGCCAAGCCTCTACTGGGAAATCCAGCTCTGTCTTCCCACAATATTTGATATTATTGGCCAGTCACTGCTCCGCTCCTCCATTAAAGCCTTGGCCTTTTCAGGAGGGTGAAACCAGGCAGGAAAAAACTCATACAGGGCTCTAGGTCTTCAGTGCACTGAGATGAGCCAGAAGGGAGCAAGGGGAGACTCTGGGGCAGGAGGGCCTCAGAGAAAACATCCTGCCTCCGTTGGAGATGTTTCAACAAAAAATGAGTGTGAGCAGACAGGTCACATCCGCAGAAGATCTCCAAAGGGAGATTCCACAATGGAACATACCTCAAGTCTGTTGTTTCACATCCATGGAAAGCTGGGCCAATGCTGCTTTCCTTCAGCAGGTGGTCCAGCTGCCAAAAGAGGGACGCCAGTTAAGCCCTGACCCCCAAGGAGATGAGCTCAGTGAGGGCAGAGACATGGCTCATTGCTGGTCCACATACCAGGGTGTTCATATTCCTTCGAGTAGCCGAGTCAGGATTCTCCAGGTCAGAAGTGTAGGGGAGGTTGGTGATGGTGAAGTTGATGGTGAAACGCTCGAGGGCAGCAGCTGTTGTTGTTGGCGGATGGGTGGGAGCTGAAAGATGTAGAAATCAGGAATGACACGGGGCAAGAGCCTAAGTGTCTGGGCTCTGGAAGGAGAACCACTCAGGTCTCCATGCCAGCCCTGGTGTCCATGGGAATGGCTTCCATGACCTCCACATTTCCCCAAGGATATCGAGGCCAAAGCCCCACTGCCTGAGGGAAGACCCCAGGAGAGCACTTGTGCACTTCTGATCCCAGCCCAGGCCTGCAAGGTACTCACTGATCAGCACAGGCTGCTCGTTGTACCCTGGGAAAAGAGAGAGACAGAGGGTCAGGAGCTGGAGCTGGGCAAGAGGCAGCACTGGGGCAGGG